GATTATGGATTAGTTTAATCTAAAAGCAATTGATGCCTTTGGGAAGACTTTCAAGGCAGGAACATTCACTTTGTTCAAGTCAAGGGTGTCCACGGCAGAATAACCTCATTTGGAAGATCCTGTGATCCTCAAGGAAATGCTGCAAGATTACAAATGATCTTTAAAGTACCCATGAGAGAGTCTGTATTTAATATTAGCTTGTATTTCAGAGGTCATGTATGATTCACCCAATGCATTCATTGATACTTCAGCTAATGTAATATTTAATTCACACATCAGACTGAGAGAGTCTTTCCTGAAATTGTACCTGAAATTAAGAAACAATGTGTATGTTTCTTCTGCAGACAAATATAATTCAGGATCTTATAATGCACCAACCTGGAGGAAAAGAAATCCACATGCAAACACGTTCTCTAAGTTTAAAGCAACCATTCAGGTAACTGTTTGATAGAAATTTCTATTATTCAGTCTTTTCAGTAAAAGTAAGATACCTCTCCCCACCAGAAAATGTAAAAGTGCTCTTAAAACTTTCCCAACCAAAACCCACAAGATTCTAAGCAATGCTGAGTAGTCTGAAAGAGCAGTTAATCATTTTGTTTGTTTGCAGAGTTGTAATTTTGCCTGTGTATTTCTAGTTTTTTACAATATTACTGATACGAAAGCAAAATACCTGCCTTTAAAGTGAGGAGCTGCAAGAAGTGAGTTTTGGCTTGTAACACTGGACAAAGCACAGCAGAGAGTATATGGGTGTGACCTATTTGCCTCTCTGCTCGTGAAGCTTCTGCAATAGCTGAACGATGATTAACTGAGGTCCAAATTCATAAAAGGACTCGGGGTGTAAAACATTGACAAGGTGCCCTAAGGTCCGTTAATAAATTTTACAGCTGTCTTGAAAGCAGAGATTAAAACCTCTATCTCATGTCCCTCGGATGAATGGCCAAACCTTTATAGTCTGCAGTCTGTGCGTCAGTGTGGCATTTCCTTCTTATCTCCCATCTCCCTGTGTCCCCTATGGGTGTAACAGGGACTTCGCTCTGCAGCTGCATGGTTCGAAATGTGGACTAGCAGAGCGTCCTCGTTCTTGTAAGCTTAGCCTGCCAGCTTGCTATGAAAGTGCTTCCCTGAAAGGGAAAAGCGATAAGTTTGAACCCTGCTGATCACTGCCCCTTTCGTGGGTGAATTCTTTTTCTGCTACTTTATTTTATAGCAGATGGTCAGTAACACTTCCTCCAAGTGGTCTCATAAGGTTTTGAGAGTATGAGCCTGCTCGAGGAGACTAGTTCAAAGCGGGTGGCTCAGGAAAGTGCAACTTTGTGATTTTGTGTTTCAAAGCCCTGCAGACGGCCCAGCTGTCAGTATCCCTACGAGTTTACCCAGGGCAGTTCCATACTCAGCATGAGGCCATTTTGATTCAATTCCGAGATGAAAATACTGTTGAGGCACCACATTGGTGCAGAGCACCTAAAACCACCCTCTGTAATCCCTCACTGGTTGTGCTAGTGTATTTGGTTTCTTTGTGCAAGTACCACATTGTTCTCAAACATCTGCTTGGGAAGGTTTTAGAGGAAAAATACTTGGATGGAACATTTTGAAACATGGGTGAATTATATTGGGATGAAATATTTTTATTTCTGTTGCTTCTGGAAGTGTTGAAACTTACTTCTCAGAATGTTTCTGAAGGAGCACATAGTTTTACTCTAATAAATTATGCACAAAATGTTCTCTATAATTATTTTGACAGCAGAGCCAAGAAGACATGGAAAGGAACAGAAAAGTAGAACGATGTGTAGAAAGGAGAAAGAGATGAAGGGAGTGCATCAATTTACAAGAAAAATCTAAATTGAAATAAGGATGATCAACTGGAAAATCCAAAGATGATAAAATTACAAATTCCAAAAACAAGATGCAGGAAGTACACTGTAACATTTCATAACGGATTAAAAAATTAAAAAGTATGCTCTGTATGGTCACATATAAAAGTCTTCGATATATTCATTGTTTGATCTGTTATGAATATTTGACAGTTGAAATGATTTTTGCAGACTGTATTTTAAGGCATAATTCCTAATATGAATGGATACTATTAGTTTCACTTAGCAGTTTCAGAGGACTTTTAATTGAAATAGTGATAGTAATGCATTCTAGAAAGTAGCTGTTTTGGTGTGAAAGCCAGGTTCTTAGGTGGTTTAGCTGTTTGCCAGGTGTTTGGAGGCTCAGTCTGAGTTTGATCTTGAGATGCTGACATTTTATCAGGGCAGCAGAACTGTGTTATGAACTAAATGAACTTCACACCAAAACTTTTAGAATTAACTGAATTATTTCTTTACACACATTTTAAAATCTAAAAAAGATTGGGTAAAGATTGAGAGGGAGACTGATAAGAAGGATACTTTAATATTGCTTTCTGAAGAAACAAACCTCATACTAAATTGTTACGTTTATGTGATTTATATCTTTGCCTCAGATGTTTTTGTGTGTTTGCCTTTGCTTGACCTTTTGTTATTCTTACAACATAATCAGTTTTGGGGGAGAGCCTTTCAAACTTCTTTGTGTAGCACTGGGATCCACTAATTATCTCGGTGGCACCTGTAACTGTGAATATAAAAGCATTTTGCTTCCTTGGGACCTTTTCTTCATTGTGACTGTTTAGAATATGAGGTTGGATCAGTTATCTTCCAGGGTGCCTTCTAGCTGAAATGTTGTCATTCTATGAGAAGTATAATCATACATTTCTCTATCCTGCTTTATTTAGAATATCTTGCATAAACCTTGGGTGGTAATGCTGTAATTTATTTTCCTATTTTGAAATTTAATTTTTAATGATTTAAACTTAAAAAACCCTGTAGTGATTACAAACATGTATGCAGCTGAGCATCACTTTCCTTAAGTGAGGGAACAGTAGAAAAATCTAGAGTATCTGGTGTAACTGAGAGTTAGGAAATGTAAAAAAAAAACCAGACAAGATACATGTTTTTAAAATCGAGGACTAAGTGTACTGAAAATGTTTTCCCCCCTCTAATTAGAAAGTGGAGTTTCAAATGGTAGCACGTGATGCCTTGTGGCAACATTTTATATGTTGTCTGCCTGAGGCAATTTAAAATCTTAATTCAGAGGGGTATTGTGTCCAGTTATATAGAGCCTCCTGCCTGGCCTTGCCTGTATCTGACAGTGCAGCAAGAAGTTCTCAGGGGAACATCCTTTTTGTTTAACAGTAGAAATGAGGAATCGAGTTGGCTGCTTTGGGAAAATCCTGTGAGAGTTCAAATGACCAAAATGGGGTAACTTTTCTGTGGACGGGATCTGCAGGGTGTGCTGGGCCGTGGTTGGAGGTTCATTTGGTGCTGCACAACTTGGGGTTCAAAGCATCTGGAGGGTTGTGCGATTATCTATACTATCTTCCTTTTCTTTTTAGTGTGATCTCAAAAATCCAGCATCTGAAGAGATGCTTTATAGAATCTGTGTGCCTTTATGACTGGGATCATAAAGAACTAGCACCTCCTGGTGCAATTCAACCCACCTCCCCACCCTGAAAAGCCAACCCGACAAGCCACAGCCAAAAGAAGATAATTTCCTAACATCTTAACATGCCAATACTCCCAGCAGAGCATCTGGCTAAGTGTCAGGCCCAGCTCAAGGGAAGGACAAAGAAATGCAGGAGGAGAAGGATGAGGGTGATGCTTGTCTGATCCTGGATTGCTGTGGAACCACAGCCTCAGTACATTGTCTCTTCCCTTTCCACTGGAGCTAGCTGTAGAGAAATTACAAATACTGTTCTCTTAGTCATCAGTTGCTTAACCCAGCAAGTCACAGATACTAAGAAATACCTCATCATTATACAATAAATATATGGCTCAATGAGATATTAACAGTTTCTGTGAAGTGTTAACTACTCTTGGATGAAATCAGAGGTACAAAAAGTGATAAGTGCTTTGTGTGATCAAATTCTTGTTTGAGATTCCCCTTTCACAGCTTTAAAGGCACTAAGATCCACTAAAATAATAAAAATGCGTGTTTCCAGATCACAGATGCATCCTCTATTATATTACCTAATCCCCTTCCGTCTGGTTGTCTTTATCGTTAGGGCACCAAAGAGGAGTCAAAGGAAATTCAGGATACTCAGCATTTCATGCAGTGAGGCCCTAAAGATTGCATTTCTGTTTTTTCACATCCTTGCTGCATGACAGATCCCCCACACTGATTTAAACTAATAGTACTTGAAAATAAGTCCTGAGATAATGAGACAAAGATCAGAGGCAGAGGGCTACTGAAGGAGAATTGAACTTGCCCTGCAATTCTGTATGCGTGTACATAATCTGCTGCTGAATTGAAAGGCTCAGGGGAAAGAAATGATTCGTTACTTTCACCTTATACATGTTAAAATATGCTAATGTTTTTCCAGATGGTATTTCTAAAAACATATCAAACATCTAGTGTAGTATATCTGTGGTGCTTTGACCCTGGCTGAATGCCAGGCACCCACCAAAGCTGCTCTGTCACTCCCCCTCCTCAACTGGACAGGGGAGAAAAAAATATAACAACAGGCTTGTGGGGTCAAGATAAGGACAGGGAGATCACTCAACATTCACCATCACGGGCAGAACAGATTCACCTTGGGGAAAATGTAATTTATTACCAATTAACTCAGAGATGAGTAGTGAGAAATAAAAATAAATCTTAAAACACCTTCCCCCCACCCCTCCCTTCTTTCACAGGCCTAACTTTTTTCCAAATTTCCCTCCCTCCTCCCCGAGTGATGCAGAGGCACAGGGAATGGGGGTTGTGTTCAGTCTATCACACTGTTGTTCCTGTCGCTCCTTCCTCCTCAGGGGGGGGACTCCTCACACACTTCACCTGCTCCAATGTGGGGTCCCTCTAACGGGAGACAGTCCTCCATGACTTCTACAGCGTGAGTCCTTCCTATGGGCTACAGTTCTCCAGCGTGCGTCTCCTCCATGGGGTGCAGTCCTTGAGGAACTGACTGCTCCAGCGTGCCCCCCCCATGGGGTTACTAGCAGCAGACCTGCTCCAGCGTGGGCCTCTCTCTCTCCACGGGCCACAGGTCCCACCAGGAGCCTACTCTGATGGAGGCTTCTCACAGGGTCACAGCTTCCTTCAGGTATCCACCTACTCCGGCGTGGGGTCCTCCACAGGGTGTAGGCAGTCATCTGCTCCACCACCCACGGGCTGCAGGGGGATGGCCTGCTTCACCATGGTCTTCACCACAGGCC